ACAGCAATCAGGAACGTTCATCAATGATGTAAAGCGTATGAACTGAATCATTACTCTACACCCGATTCACGCTCAGAAGAGAGTATCGAGACTCTTCATCGTGGTGTGGGAGACGCAACTCTTTCGAAACACATTTCCTAGTCAAGAACTATAGAAATGATCCCTGAAAGTATAGTCTTAACCTGCACTCAGCGAAAGCAGCTCGGGTGGACTCTGTCACTCGGAGTCTCACAGACGGTGAGCAGCTCGAGCTCACGCTACACGAAACAAGTAACATCTAACACACTAGTATTTTCATGATCGTGAATGCATGCCAATTTTCTAAATAACACAAATATTGACTTATGTCGGTTCATATACAATAAACACGGTTTCTCTGTTAAAACGAGACATTTCCACATACAAGATGTGCTCACCTTTATGATCGATGAGAAAAACAACAACCACATTCGATTGGAATTAGTAACATTGTTCTTATCGTTCCGGTTATATATATAATACAAATAATATCAAATACTTAGTTTGTAATGTAATAACAATATAAATAAACAATCATACAGTTACCCATAATGCACTTCAAGCTCAAGAAACAGCGCCTGACAAAAGCAACCAATCAAGAGAGAGCATATGTGTTTCTCAATAAAAATAAATAGAACGTCACATATGAACATTTTAAACTTTCTAACACAAGAATAATGTACATGTGAATTTAAAAAATACCAATAAATAAATATTTTTTATTTTATTTATGTCAGTATGTGTCTTCAGGGTTGATACAGTGCTGGTACAGCAATAACAAATGTCCGGAGCGAAACCACCCACTCTTTATAAAGGTTCCGACAAGAGTGAAAACTGTTCACTCTGTTCAGATTTGTATTGATCCGGGTAATTTAAAACATATATATTTGTTATAACCCAGAAAACAGCACTTGCGTTATTCTGAAGACATCCTTTAAGATAAACGTAATAACCAAATACAGCCAGCAAGCACGTTTCAAAATCACGGACGGGGCTCAAAACTTGTAACACTAATGAAAAAGTTATTAGGAAAGTTAATGAAAACATACGTTTTTATGCCATTGTACATAATTGTATGCCTGTATGTTTTGTTTCTTATTTTGTGTCGAATTCTCGTGTATCTGGAAGTTTCAGGCCAGGGTGTTGGCATTATGTCTTATGAATTATTTTATTCAATTAGTAATTGTAATCATAATAAATGTAAATCATTCACTTTTTTTAAATCTCTGTCTTAAAAATATATTTCTGACCAGATTATCCATTTATTCAAAGTTTTTTTTCTATAAATATGAAATTATTTTTTCTATAAATTCTATTTAACCATGCACAGAATACATATATGGAGAACTAATATTCTAATGTAAGGACCTATGTACAGACTATATGGGGATTATATGTCATGCAGAATCATCGGAGACAATCTTAAACACACTGTGAGAAACTTGCATCATAGGCACACTGAAACAACTTTATTGACTTGTATAACATTTTCATGGAATTTCAAGTCTGTATTTGTTAAGTGTTTGAATTGCAGTACAGTCTTAAAAAGCATGCTTAGACTTTGATGTTAATTGCCTTAGATGGCAAACCAATCTTGCGCAATCTTTGTACAGCGATACCTGTTCAAAAATAAATCAATTGTGTGAGAAAAAATAACAACAATTTTAGATTAAGGCAATGCTTATTATTGGGCTTAATGCAACATGAGCTACATACTCTCTTACAAACCCAGTTTCTGATTATGACAATAAAGTGTTACCCTTTTCACACAGTATGATTCTGTACATTTAAACAATCCTGACAATGACAAAATAATAATAATAATAATTGCTTTGTTTGTACAATGCAATATAATATAGTATAAATATAATGAATAAAAGGTCATAATGAGTAACTCACCCTGCTTAAAACATTTCCATTACAAATGCATTTAAAAATCTCTTTACCCTTCCAGGACACCCATGTGCAACTTTAAAACATACACAAATTGAACTTGTACCAGCCGAAATGTCATCTCCCAGCTTATAAACAAACAAGATTTAGAGCAGATTACAGAATAAAGTCTGATCACGCAGAGCTGTGCAGATTCTAGAACATGCAGTGCAGAGCGCTGAATCCAGGGACACCATCCCAATCCCAAGGTTTCAAAATCAGAAGAAGAAGAGGTAGATTTCATGATGGAACCTCTCTCAAACATTTCCAGAGCAGACAAATCAGTTTCTTTCTGAGAAAGAAAAGACACATCCTGAACACCGTTCACCTGGTGCAAAAGAAAATGGAAAAGAGCTAATTAAAACCTTTACCTTACAAATATTCACTCATTAAATCAAGATTTTCCTGTACAATATATATATTACATTTAGCAAACGCTTTTATCCAAAGCGACTTACAAATGAGGACAATAAAAGCAGTCAAAACTAACAAAAGAGCAACAATATATAAGTGCAAATGACAAGTCTCGGTTAGCTTAACGCAGTACATGTAGCAAGGTGTATATATATATTACACACACACACACACACACGCACACGCACACGCACACGCACACACACACACACACACACACACACACACAGAGGTTTGTTTTTATGGTTTATGGGCACTCTACATAGGCGTAATGGTTTTTATACTGTACAAACCGTATATTCTATTGTCCTACACCAACCCTACCCCTAAACCTACCCCTCACAGAAAACTTTCTGCATTTCTAGATTTTCAAAAAAAGTCATTCCGAATGATTTATAAGCCTTTTGAATTACGGGGACACTGCAAATGTCCTCATAAATCACCTCCCCGTTGTAATATCTATGTCATATTATTATACAAATTTGTGTCCTCATAAACCACACACACACACACACAAAGAAAAACAAGTAGATAGAATAGAGAATATAGAAAGCTAGCTATTACATAGATGGTGAGATTGCATATATACACTGCCATTAAAAAGTTTGGGGTCAGAAAGATTTTATTTATTATCTTTTAAAGAAATCAATACTTTCATGTAGCAAGAATGCATTAAATTGATCAAAAGTGATGGTAAAAACTTCAGTGTCCCAAAAAAAATAAAAATAAAATGCTATTTCAAATAAATGCTGTTCTTTAATAATATTAAGCAGCACAACCATTTTCAACACCGATAATAATAAATGTTTATTTAGCAGCAAATCGGCATATTAGAATGATTTCTGAAGGATCATGTGACACTGAAGACTGGAGTAAATTCAGGAGTCTCAAAATTCAGCTTTGCCATCACAGGAATAAATTATATTTGAAAATATATTAAAATAGAAAAAAACATACTTTTAAAATGTAAAAATATTTTTACTATTTTTGATCAAATAAATGCAGACTTGGTAAACATAAGAGACTTTTTTGAAAAAATGTATTTTAAAAAACTTAAACTTTTCAGTGTGAGTGTGTATATAGGGCTACTTATCTGCCTGCCAGTTCCTTCTTCAGACATGATTTAAATGAAGTAAAACGCTCTACAGCCTTATAACCCTGCAGAAACAAAGAGAGAGAGAGAATTAGTCATTACTTCAGTAGTTGACAAAATTACTATTAAAAAAACCTGAACTTGTTATTAATTATCAACAAACAATAGCTAGATTACATGGAAAAAATATTTTTAAAATTCATAAAAAAATGAATGCTGCTCTGCATAGTAGAATATCAGAAGAAAATGTTATGTTTACTTGACAGCAGATTTAGAACTATAATGATAATGAAAAACCTACAGGGAGCTATAGGTTTCATTGTACAGATATAGCTAGTTAACACTAGGTGGCGCTATAGCTGCAGTGATACTGTCCTTATCTCACAATTACATTTGAAAGCTCAAAAGCATGATGCACCGCTCTTTCCACTACACCTCTTTCTTACCCTGCCTCCACGGTGCAGCCGGTCCTTCATGATACCAATGAACTCTTTGTAACTGAGCTGATCATCATGATCCACGTCAAATATCTTGAAGATGGTGTTAACCAGGTGGCGGGTCAGCTTGAGGCCTGTTGCGACATATACCGCCCGAGCAAACTCATCTGGAAGACAGAGAGAGACACACACATTCAGAGGACCGTGAATTTGCTCCACACTTTTCATTTAACACGATCACCTCATTTTTGGGTTTCTTAATTTGCATAGTACATTTTGAGGATACAGTGGAAGGTCCAAACCATTTATTTTAAAGGGGGAAAAAAATTCTAAAATAAATCATTTGCATTTTTCTATTTCAATAAAGAAAAATTGTGCATTCAAAAAATATTTATATTTATTTAAGTGAAACACTGATTTCAAAAACTGGTACTAATTTCTTTGTTTTAAAATTAGATTTTAATTTCCCAGACTTTAAATGTGGTCTCAGACTTTTAAATCTCGCTGTGCATTTTACATTTGCATTAAACAGTAGTATTTGTGAATTCAAATTTGTGTTTCAAAGATGAACGAAGGGTTTGGAACGAAATGAGGGTGAGTAATTAATGACAGAATTTTAACCCTTTAAAGGGTTAGTTCACCCAAAAATGAAAATTAGGCTGCGTTTTACTCACCCTCAAGTCATCCTAGGTGTATATGACTTTCTTATTTCAGACGAATCCAGTCGGAGTTATATTAAAAATTGTCTTTGATCTTTCAAGCTGTTTAATGCCACTCAGCGGGTGTTGCATGCATCAGTCCAAAAGAACTTGAATAAAAATCGCCCATCCATAAAAAAAAGTGTCTCACACGGCTCTGGGGTGTACATTAAAGTGATTATTACGTTTTGAATATGGATATTTTTCTTACAAAAACGCATCGATTCGCTACAGAAGGCCTTTGTTCACCCCCCGGAGCCGTGTGAGACACTTTTTTTATGGATGGGCGATTTTTATTCAAGTTCTTTTGGACTGATGCATGCAACACCCGCTGAGTGGCATTAAACAGCTTGAAAGATCAAAGACCATTTTTAATCTAACTCCGACTGGATTCGTCTGAAATAAGAAAGTCATATACACCTAGGTTAACTTGAGGGTGAGTAAAACGCAGCCTAATTTTCATTTTTGGGTGAACTAACCCTTCAAGTAAGTATTTCACCTTGTCCAATGGAACGACAGGCAAAGTTGTACATCTGCATGGCAATGGCAAAGTCTTCAAGGTTATTGAGGAACTGGAAGAAAGACCTGAACTCTTCAAAGGTGATGCCCTGATCATGAAACAAAAGAAGAGAGCAAAAAACAGAGGGAAAAGAAATCTTTTAATCTGAGACATTCAATCAAACAGACAGAGCTGCCATAAACTGACTTTACATTCCATTCCATTTCAAAGAGGATCTGTGAGCGACATGACATCACGCAGAATACACAAGCAGAGTTCTCATTTCATACCCAAGCGAATCTGTACCGAACACACAAATGCAATGATGGACAAACAGAAATCAACATTTTGATATATGCACAAGAAATCAGACGCTGTGCCGCTCATGCTTGTTTGCTGATGCGTGTGCAGCTCTTTGTGCTCTGCCAACACAGCACACAATGACACATGCGACGATGAAAGGCATGAGTCATTTCACAACACAATGTCATAAAATTGTCAGCCAAACAGCATGACATCATCGACTGGAATCCAGAAGATAACTTACAATTTGACTGACAACAGAACTCCAAGAACGTCTTAAAAACACCGCTCAAAAGTCTGGAGTCAGTATGATTTTTTATGTTTTTAAAAGAAGCCTCTTAACAAGGCTGCATTTATTTGAACAAAAATAGCAATATTGTGAATTCCTACTACAGCTTAAAATACCTATTTATATATTTATTGTAATATATTGTAAAATTTAATTTGTTCCCGTGATGCAAAGCTGAATTTCCAGCATCATTACTCCAGTCTTCAGTGTCACATGATCCTTCAGAAATCATTCTAATATGCAGATTTGATGTTCAGGAAACATTTCCCATGATCATCAATGTTGAAAACAGTTGTGCTATTTAATATTTGAAACAGACATTTTTGTAATAATGTTTTTAATCAGTTTTGATCAATTAAACTTTTAAACTTGCTGAATAAAAGTTTTTTTTTATTATAATTACAAATAAAATCCTGACCCCAAACTTTTGCAAAGTATTGTACTGTAGTGTACACCCAAAAATTAAATTTGTGTCGCAGTTTACTCACCCTCATGTTGTTCAAATCCTGCATATCTTTGTACTGTGAAACAATTTGAAGAACTTTATATCCAAATAACATCTGACCCGAATGACCTCCACTGTATGGACAAAAAACACCTAAGACATTTTCCAAAATATCGTCTTTTGTGTTCCACAGAAGAAAGAAAAGTATACAAGTATGTCATGAGGGTGAGTAAATAATGACAGACTTTTTTTTTTTTACATTTTGGAATTGAATGCACAGAATCCTGCAGCATATTGTCCTGCCTGTCAAAACAAAATCTAGGATTAAATCTTTCACCCGAGGGTGTCAGAAGTCTTGTCACAGCTATGGTAATCCACATAAACCTCTCTGGTGAGTATTTAACATAGTTCTAGTTACACATTAGGCTTAACTGTTGGGTAGGTTTGATGTTTAAAGCTGGATTTTGTTGGATTGAGTTCAGGATTTAGCACTCATGGTGGAAAACCATAAAATGCCATAAAAGTGAGTTTAGGGTCTATTCCGTGGGAATTCCAGAGGAGGGTGAAGTCATTCTAGCCAAATGTACAAACTGCTCAAAGGGGCCCCAAAACCTGATACCCTCAACACAAACAGATCCCTCAGATGGGACTGGGAAAGAGCTAAAAGAGAGCAGTCAGGCATGGAGAAACCGACATCAGGTGACCCTCTAGATGGACAGCATGACAATCTGTATTCAAACACAAACTTTGCCCCAAGCACATACACAACACACCCACACAACTACAGTGGGCCAAAAAGGGATTTGGACGCTTAACTTAAAATGAAAGGAATTTCATTATATATATACACACACACACACACACACACACACACACACATTATAGATAGACAAGTAGGTAAGTAGAATAGGTAGACAGCACAGGCGGGGGGTGAACCAACTCCAGGGTAAGCTAAAATTAGCCTAATGCTATTGGATACAAACATCATAAACCCGTCTTTTTAGGCAAATACCATGTGTCATGTAGGCTAATAAAATATTTGAATAGGACTAAATTTGTATTTAACGAGATCAAAATTGAATAAAAACATTGTAAGTTGCTAATTATAACGTTTTCATTTCCACGGTTATTCAAACAGCGAATAAATTACATACAGAAAGCGAGCGAAGAACATGCACTAACTTCAATCTATCTATCTATTTTGAGAGTTTAACTCTAAAAAACAAAGAAACAAAAAAACTATCGTTATAATCAATGAAGCTGTCTACACTGTAAAATGAATCTCTTACATTGCATATACATCTGCACGTTGTTGTTTATGATGAGAGAATTCGCGAGAGTGCAGAATTCCGTCTGCAAGCGCGCACACTAAACAAACCTCTGGTGTTTCAGCGATGACTAATCTGAACGCCTCTGACTGGTCATTGCATTCATAAGCTTAACAGAATTGTGTGTGATTGGTTATAATGCAAGTAGACAAGTGGGGATGGATGGATGGATAAATAATTGATATCCACATATTTTAAGTGTGGATGAAGCGACCAAATGCTTTTTGGGACCACTGTATATTTTTATATAATTTAAACTCAAGAAATATGTTCAAAGCTCTCACAACATGATAATCGTATAGCTGATTGAAAGTAAATGGGAATTTACTTTCTTGAACATGTGCCACAAAATCAAAGAGAGAGAAAACAACTGAAACACAAAATGCAAAACCAAACAAAAATGATCTGATCAAGAGCTGCAGACTCCCACAGGGACAAACCTCTGCTTTCTTCCAGTGTTTGATAAACAGGGATAACAGAGAGAATACAGGACGTTTTTGTACACTGTTGGAATTCACCCTGCAACTTGTGTGCACTTAAGACAGTCAGACCTAAAGATTAGATTAATGTGCAGTTTGAACAAAGTCGCAAGAGCTGCAGACTCCCACAGGGACAAACCTCTGCTTTCTTCCAGTGTTTGATAAACAGGGATAACAGAGAGAATACAGGACGTTTTTGTACTGTTGGAATTCACCCTGCAACTTGTGTGCACTTAAGACAGTCAGACCTAAAGATTAGATTAATGTGCAGTTTGAACAAAGTCTGTTTTTTATTTTTCAAGAATTAATATAGGGGCACAGTAAACCAGCTAAACAAATAAAAAATAGCAGCACATAACTAATAGACACATAACATTTTATCATTTGCATCAAGAATAGTTCACCCATAAATAACAATTTGATGAAAATATACTCACTTTCATACCATCTAAGATTTAGATTTAGAGAAACTTAGCATTACATCACTTGTTCACCAATGGATCCTCTGCAGTGAATGGGTGCCGTCAGAATGAGAGTCCAAACAGCTGATAAAAACATCACAATAATCCACAAGTAACCCACACCACTCCAGTCCATCAATTCATTTTGTGAAGTGAAAAGTTGCATGTTTGAAAGAAACAAATCCATCAAGGCATTTTAACTTTAAACTGTCGCTTCTGGTCAAAATACGAGTTATATATTAAAACAGATCTCCTTTCACATCGAAACCCACCAACATGCTTGTTTAGAACTGTTTTTGCTAAACAGCGTTTGATCTGTGCATATTTCTCTCCTGGTTCAGATTAGATTACTTTTTCACTGTAGAAAGCAATATTATGGATAGAGGACTCATATTTTAGCTTGAAGTTAAGAAGTTAAAAACATCTTAATGATAGATTTGTTCATGACAAACACTTTCACTTCACAAGCTTTTAATTGAGTCACATGGATTACTTGTGGATTATTGTGATGTTTTTATCAGCTGTTCTAACTCTAATTCTGATGGCACCCATTCATTGCAAGAGGATCCATTTTCATTTTTGGGTGAACTATTCCTTTAAGACATCTGGGCCTGGGAAAAGTCCAGTTCCACTTTACTACAAAGTGTGAGTTTGACACTTGCTCCTTAAATAAACATGGTAATACTAAGAAAAATGACCATCCGCAGGATGAAAGCGTTACATTAGTTGTGGAGAGGTGAGAATAGAGAGACTATAAGATTAAACTGCAGTTCACATGTAAATGTCACACACTCAATATGGGGTATTTGAGCATTCAAGGGTGGATGACCACTCAAGTTGTGGGGATGTGTGTATTTTTGGGTTGGATAAGAGAATTTTATGAATAGAACAAATATGTTTAAAAAGTGAAGTGACGTGACATGTGGCCAAGTATGGTGACCCATACTCGGAATTAGTGCTCTGCATTTACCCATCCAAAGTGCACACACACAGCAGTGAACACACACACACCGTGAACACACACCCGGAGCAGTGGGCAGCCATTTATGCTGCGGCGCCCGGGGAGCAGTTGGGGGTTCGGTGCCTTGCTCAAGGGCACCTCAGTCGTGGTATTGAAGGTGGGAGAGAGCACTGTACATTCACTCCCCCCACCTACAATCCCTGCTGGTACGAGACTTGAACCCACAACCTTTGGGTTATGAGTCCGACTCTCTAACCATTAGGCCACGACTTCCCCTCTGGGGAAATGGATAACTTTAAATGGATAACATTGAATTTGTATGTGTATTTTTATTAATATGATTGAATTTCCTTGTGGGGCACAGAAGTGTTGAACCAGTAACCTTCCTGTACATGTAAAGCTGTCAGGAGGAGGGGTAACATGAGTCGTTTGAAGGGGTGAAAGTGTGAGCTTGGGGAATGTGGTCATCCCAGTTGCCCTACACTTTTCTTTCAGATGAAGTCAGTGGCTAGGTGACATTACTCATTACCTTCTCATCAGGTATGCACTGGCGCACATTCTCCAGATAGCTGCGAATATCCTCTACGTTAGTGTAGCGCAGCAAGATTCGTGCAAAGTCCTCCTCGCTGATGGTGGTCATGCCTTTGGAATAGGTCAGGAACTCAATCTCTAACATCTCAGTTTGCAGATTATCCATGAATCTGAAAGACCAATGACCGCAATAAAAGTCAGAGTGTAAAGAATTAAAAAAAAAAAAGGAATGAAAAATGTAAAATGTCAATGGTGTTTGCCCATGCAAAACTCGCCGCCATGTGCTAGGGTGTTGCTATGTTGTTGCTACTGTAGGGTTTATTCCAGGTGGTTTCTATGATGGCATTATGTCTTTATAATATTAGAGTTTCTCAATATGGCTTTGTATGATATTCAATGTGCTTCATTTTCTACAAGAAAAATAGAAAAAATGTTGCACAACACGGCACAAATGTTTGATGTTTAACATGCATTTATGTGGACCAATGAAATTGCACTATAGGCAATTACCCATTGCTACACCGCAGTAGAAAATACAAATAATCAACAAAACATCCTGTCATTTGTATTGACTGGTTATGATAAATTTACCTTTTACATTTATACTACCGTTCAAAAGTTTGGGGTCTGTAAGACTTTATTTTTTATTTTTTTAAGAAATTTACATTTTTATTCAGTAAGGATTTATTAAATTGAACAAAATAGTAAAACATTGACAATGTTACAAAATATATATATTTATTATTATTACGAATATTATATGTTTTCAACATAATGAATGTTTCTTGAGCACCAAATCAGCATATTAGAATTATTCCTGAAGGATCATGTGAAAGTGAAGACTTTAGTCTTATATTAAAATAAAAAGTTATTTTAAATTGTATTAATATTTTACATTAATACTTTTTCTGTTGTATTTTGTAGCTGTAGTGAGCATAAGAGATGGCTTTAAAGACTCTTTCATTTTATCATGCCACATCCTGTTAGGACAAGCTGCTAACCGACTTCAGCATTTCCTTCTATACCTGCTTGATGGACATTAGTTCTCATGCATCCATCCTTGCCAAGTGAAGATGAATAATTGGCATGTTTTTAGAGCTTTCTTTTTAAGACTCAAGTTGTCATACCTGTAGAAGTCCTCAAACGTTAGCTCCGCCTTCCCCTTCTTGCCAAAGAAGTGCACAAGCAGAGTGGTGTCAATCATCATGTTCTCACCGGCACGCTGCGATTGGTGAGGAGAACGAGAAAGAAGAAACTATGACAAAAATCCTTCTGTCTGAATAAGAAATCAGTCCATCATTGGCTTGCGGAGCTATTCAGAGTACCAGCCATCCAGCGCCTGAAAGTGTGCATCCATTTATCTTTTCTCTCCTGAGCCTACAGACGACATGTTCTGAGAAGACGTGCAGATCTTTATACCATTAGAATGGCATAAAGATTGTATATTAGACTGAAAAAGAAACACAACAAAGAGCAATGATACACAGAAATGCACACAAACATGCCAGTTGTGTACACATATACCCCCTGTGTACATCTGGTATATTTAATTACCTCTGAATGTGGTTTAAGAGAGCCGCTCACTAAAATCATTTGTAAGGACTGGACATGAATATCAGGTGTACACAGTGTCAAGCCAAAGGAAGTACAGGACAGACCGAGACATGACAACAAAAGACACACAAAGCATCCATATGGCATGCAATTCCACAACAAACTTTCACACAGCGTATCTGCAAGAGATTTGTGAAAAAATGCACACATGTAAGCAAATTCCACCTTTCCTTCTCAAGAATCTTCAGATTTCAAAGCTAATGTTCAAGATCAATTTGAGCGATCGTTCAAGTATCATGATTCCTTTTTTCAAGCATAGCATTATAAAAACTGGAAGAAGGTGGCTGAAAGGTGCAAGGCCAGGTTAGGTGGTTGTTGTTGTTTTTTTCTTTTCTACCCATGCTTCACCCTCATCTGCAAGAAGAGCCTATCATGCTGAAACCAGGTAAAACCAGGCATAAACACTAAACAGCTCTTTTTCCCTGGTTATGGGCCTCTGTGCAATGAAGCGAGCCAGAATGCAAGTCCATGCCACTGCTGTACCTCTAGCTTAAAATCCTATCCATGGAGATACAATCAGTGGAAAGTTATAAAGAGAGAAGGAATGATTCCATTTCACTAGCCAGATCGACTCAGACACATATTGCAAATGTTTGGTATTTTATCAACATAGTGTTATTATAAGAAAAAAAAAACTTTAAAACTCTTCTGAGATGCCAATGAACACAGGATGGAAATGTAAACTTTTGATCCCAAGAGTATGAAAGCCTGTTTCAAAGATAAAATAAAATAGTCACATCTGTGAGATTTAAAACATAATTGTGATAAATAAAGCAAATGCATTTTTTCTCATTCATTTATAAACACAGGCTTCCATACAAGACAAGAGACTTTTCCAAAAACCTACTGACCTGCCTAGACAGCATTTTAAAGCATTGTAGGCATGTTCTCAACTCAGAGACTGTTCCCAAACAAGGTTATAAAAGTATGCTATCTTCGAAGATCCCTTATTTTAGCTAAATTCAAAGGCAGCATTGTATATATATATACATATATATATATATATATATATATACCCATACACTCTAAAAAATGCTGGGTTAAAAAGGGACAAACCCAGCTATTGGGTTGTATTGACTCAGACGTTGGGATGTTTTGAACCCAACCGCTGAGTCAAAACAACCCAATAGCTGGGTTTGTCCCTTTTTAGCCCAACGCTGGGTTATATTTAACCCAGCATTTTTTAGAGTGTACACTGCAGCTTCTTCAAGATGGTGGAGTCAAAAGGAAATGTATTATTATGAATATAAATGTTTAATTCAACACTGAGAAGAATCAAAGAAAAAAAAAGCAGTTCCACCATATTGCAACTCTGTTGGAAACAACTGTAGACGAGTTTATGGTGAGGAGCATTCACTCTAAAAAATGCTGGGTCAAATACACCCCAGTGCTGGGTAAAATAGGGACAAACCCAGCAATTGGGTTGTTTTGACCCAGCGGTTGGGTTACTACCCAGAAGGTTGGGTTAAACATTTAACACAACCGCTGGGTCAAAACAACCCAATTGCTGGGTTTGTCCCTATTTGTAGTATGTAACCCAGCATGTTTTAGAGTGTTATTAGTGTGATGCATCCAGTATATAAGTGTAGGTATGGACAGGAATGGATCAAATCCAAACATCAACATTTTTCTTGGTATTTTGTTCATGCGTTTTTGTATTCACCCTATTACTTTGTTCGCTGATGGTCATAAATATGGTAGGTGAGCATAAAAGTCATTCGACTGAAACAGATGGATTGATAAATGAATCTTTCTTTTATCTAAAACATCTATAGCTGTTTTTTTTCTTCACAATTTCGTCATCAATCTGCTGGAAGTGTGACATCACAACACCGTGGTTACAGGAAAAAATGTATGTGAGGTCATCATTCCATGTAACACTTCAGCCGGGCCCACAGTGTGACTTAGACATTGCCTGAAGCGTTTTACTCTTTGATCTAAAAACAGCGATAAAAACAGTGATTACTGCTGTCGACTTCTAAGATGAGTAACCCCAATCACACTTCCACACATGCTAGCATGCGCCCTTTAGCCCACAAACAAATACGCAATGTCTGGTACCCTGCAGTTGTCAACTCAGACAAACAGACCTGTCTAACTGCTGTGTCATCTGAGGAAGCCAAGCTGGAATTACCCTTTCATTGTGAATAACAGACAAAGTAAATACAGGGCATCTGCACACAGCTCTCCACAATCATTAAACTACTGCTTCCTACAGACGCCCTCTATTAGCCATTAGAACACAAACACACCATCAGGATGAGCAGACATATTCTGAATCGGTGTATAAACAAAGGCCTTTAAAGCAACACTATGTAATTTTTGGCACTCTAGCGGTTAATAAACAGAACTGTACGCATCCCGCGGAAGAACATTCTAACCTGAGCTACTTCTCAAAGTATATGTCTATGGCGATTCATGCAGGTATGTGTTACTCCACAGCGGTGACCACCCGAACAGGCTACTGGTACCCTGCAGTTGTCAACTCAGACAAACAGACCTGTCTAACTGCTGTGTCATCTGAGGAAGCCAAGCTGGAATTACCCTTTCATTGTGAATAACAGACAAAGTAAATACAGGGCATCTGCACACAGCTCTCCACAATCATTAAACTACTGCTTCCTACAGACGCCCTCTATTAGCCATTAGAACACAAACACACCATCAGGATGAGCAGACATATTCTGAATCGGTGTATAAACAAAGGCCTTTAAAGCAACACTATGTAATTTTTGGCACTCTAGCGGTTAATAAACAGAACTGTACGCATCCCGCGGAAGAACATTCTAACCTGAGCTACTTCTCAAAGTATATGTCTATGGCGATTCATGCAGGTATGTGTTACTCCGCAGCGGTGACCACCCGAACAGGCTACACTAGTCCGAATATAAGTATTTATTATAAGTGTACCGTAGTGATTCTGGATAAGACAAAAAGGCGGTTTGTAAGATGAATTCATTATGTACTTGCTCATTATTTACATTTGGCAAATTTTGAACACAGAAAAGTTACATAGTGCTGCTTTAATGTGCCTCACCGCTGAGAGCTTACAATATTAACTTGATATTATTCACAGTCGATTAAACGCAAAGACTGCACATGCAAAATATTAGAAATCGATAAGCTGAAATGACAAAAACAATTAATGATGAAGTATTAACAAAGCCAGCAATTCTCTGCAAAATTCTCTGTAAAAAAAAATCATATTAAACCTGAAATCTTTTTCTTGTTTCACATCACAATCAATATTTCCTTTTGAAATATAGTAAATATTTACAAATTATAGGTACTAATATGTACCTTTAAGGTACAAATATGGACTCTTTAGGTACATAGGTGTGCCTTTTGAAAAGGTACCACCCCAGTGACAACTTTTGCACCTTTTTTTCTGAGAGTGTGTATAAAAGTATATAATATATAGCATCATTTGGTAAAAATAATACTAAATTAACACTGCAGATACACACACACACATACATGTATTTGTAATGCTATTTCTCGTAATTGCAATCTAATATTTCACATTTGTGACTATAATTTGCAGCTTTTTACCTCCCAGTTAATTTTGTATTTTTAACTCTGAGGCAGAAACACGATTTTAGAAAATACACTTCCATTCTTATAATCTAATAAATAAGACATTCACTGAAAGCAAGACATGTTTTTCTTATCAGATGAATTTATAACAACACACATCTCTTGTTATCGTGCTTTCATTTATTTTAAATGAAGCATCAAAAACATATTTTCTAGCAGAACAACAGTTGATAAAATATATAAGAAGAGAAAATAAATAATAATAAATAAATAAATAAAAGGATATTCCTGGGTCATTAAATGACAATGATGTTAGGGTTAAGGTGTATATATATACATACGATAAATGGAGGAATGGCAGTTATGATGTACCTTTTCCAGGTGAGAACACTGTGTTAAGGATGGCTAGGGATGAATAAAAACATGGGATGAGACAGGAGGACAGAGGGCTATGGTTGTACCTCTGCCAGGTCAGAAAACAGGGCTTGGCTCGCGCCACGTCTCAGCATGTCCCAGTAGCTCCTGGGCACAAACTCCTGACTCTCTTTTTTTAGCACCTGCAGAGGGTTTAGCATGAGATGGAGAGCTGTTATCATGTTAGTTTCTATTGACATGGTTAATAAGAGGACGTGTCGGGTGGTCTCTCAGTCATTTTCTCAACCATGAAAAACATATGGCAAATTTAGCAACCTAAACCAATCAAATATACTGTATAAGGATTAATATGAAGACTAGGAGGGGGAACTTGTTGATGTTAGCCAAATGCTAATTGTATGTGGTTATAGGATGTGAGTGATTAATCATAAAAAAAAAATCTGGGATATTATCCAAGACTGAAAGGTTTTATCAGCATATATTATTATACCGGATACAGAATCTTCTGTGAAATGGCTCATATATGCGTCATCATTGACTCACAAAATTTAGTTTTTACCATGACACAAAATGTTCATACCATGACATGAAATCTTGATTATGAATGTTCTGTAACTGCACAGCTATTTTTTAGATCCATATCATGTTACCATGTTCTTTCCAGACACTTTTGAACTAATAGTTGCTCAGACTGTTTTTAAATACTGGCACAAGAAAGGTTTTTTTTTTTTTTGGATGAAAAGTGGATTTTTTTTCTTAGGATACACAGTAACCATGATATCAGCAGAATAATTGCTTCTGAACGGTTGAATAATTGAAAATGACTTCATATGCGCTCCACAACACGGCAGCACGTCCATTCAATAATTTAACGATTTGTTGTCAGTTATTCTGTACCTATTTATTGAATACAGAAGCTGAGAGACTAATACTGACACATCAGGATAAGGAAAACAGCAAATATATTTCTTGTGCTGTAAGGAGCCACTTTAATGGACAAAGGTCTTTCACTCTGTCTCTCTTTCTGTACCAGATTCACAGATATACAAAAGCATTTGTGCATGAGTTGAATATGTGAAAGTGGATGTATGTGTTTTTGAGTGGACAGAATTGTCCACTAAAGTGAGCTAAATTTGACAAAAGTTCCAATAGGGATGTTCTGAATTAGAAAATCTATTTAAAAATAAAATTGGTAAAACTGTAAAAAATGTTTTGTATATGTACTAGTCTATAGTAATTAGAATGAACTTTATGTAAAAATAAAATACATTTTTAGTATGTCCCCATTTACATTTTCTGTTGTTTTCAGTGTCATCAACCAAGGCTGCATTTATTTGAAGAAAACAATACAGCAAAAACAGTGATATTGTCAAATATTATTACAACTTAAAATATATATGTAATATATTTTTAAATAGAATTTATTACTGTGATTGCAAATCTGAAATTTAAGCATCATTGCTCCAGTCTTCAGTGTCACATGATCCTTCAGTAATCATTCTAATATGCTGATTTGGCCCTCAAGTAATATTTCTTATCATTATCAATGCTAAAAACAATAGAGCCATTTAATATGTTTTTGGAAACTGATACATTTTTATGATTCTTTGATGAATAGAAACAACATTTATTTGAATTAGATTTTTTTATGTAACGTTATAAATGTAACATTTGATCAATTTAATGCATCCATGCTGAAAAAAAAAAAAAACTTTTTGTTTTCTTCCTAATGACCTCAGACTGAATGGCAGTGTATAGAATTTATAACATGTATCATCATTTATGTGGTCTTGAAGTTTACATTTTCTGTTGTTTTCAGTGTCATCAACCAAGGCTGCATTTATTTGAAGAAAACAATACAGCAAAAACAGTGATATTGTCAAATATTATTACAACTTAAAATATATATGTAATATATTTTTAAATAGAATTTATTACTGTGATTGCAAATCTGAAATTTAAGCATCATTGCTCCAGTCTTCAGTGTCACATGATCCTTCAGTAATCATTCTAATATGCTGATTTGGCCCTCAAGTAATATTTCTTATCATTATCAATGCTAAAAACAATAGAGCCATTTAATATGTTTTTGGAAACTGATACATTTTTATGATTCTTTGATGAATAGAAACAACATTTATTTGAATTAGATTTTTTTATGTAACGTTATAAATGTAACATTTGATCAATTTAATGCATCCATGCTGAAAAAAAAAAAAACTTTTTGTTTTCTTCCTAATGACCTCAGACTGAATGGCAGTGTATAGAATTTATAACATGTATCATCATTTATGTGGTCTTGAAAGAGTTTTAATCTCATTGCTGTCTAGAAGAAACATCTACATCTCAATTGTGATCTTTCTTTTCTTTTCGGGTGTCAGTGAGCGAGAGAGATGTAATGTAAGTGATTTAACATAAGTGAATGTGAAAGACTCCAGAGTTAACTCAATAGAAAACACATTTTACACCAACAACTCCACCCACTCTTACCCAAACCTGTTCTTTATAGCCCACTGATGAAGTTTGTAACTGACACTTTGTGGTTAAAGAAACTGAAATCAATAAGAATCAAATTAGACTCATTGTGGCAAAACACCCACATGCTCTCTGACCTCTGAGGTCCACTCCACGTTTTCATTCAGTCATCTGCAGATCTCTCTCATTCACCCATCATTCCTTCCATGATTTCAAGATTCACACAGAGGTTATAGTTCACAGGTCAGAGAGCTGGGGGAGATACATACGCTGTTTACGGGGACAACCTGATATCCATAGAGCTGCATACTCTATACAGAGACGAGAGGAGAGGTCACAGCATGCGGAAGAGGAGAGGAAAGAGAGAAGAACATAAGAAGAGATGGACAAAGACAGGTTAAACATGCAAAGAGTAGAAAGTGGTTTAACCACAGGACAGCTGGCACACTTTCGCAAGCCTCCAAGAGGGGATGACGCAACTGGCTCCCTCTCAGACAGCCCTTGATAAACTGGACATGTGAATGAGATAAAAAGTGTTATGCATCCGGGACAGGCAAAACAAATACAAATATAAGTCTAGAGGAAGTTTACAGTGGGTGGCCAATTGATGTTTTCAGGATATAGTTTATGGGATTTTGAGTATCCCACATATAACTAGACTTGTGTGAGTGACTAAAATGTGAGTGATGCTTGCCTGTGCAAAAACTCGCCGCCATGATGCTAGGCTGATGTGGCTGGTTGTCAAGGTGTTGTTTTATGGTTGCTAAGGTGTTAGGTGTTGGGTGCTAGGGTATTGTTAAGAGGTGGATTTCTGACCCAAGTCAAAAGAGCCCACCTCGAAATATTACTCCGGTCCCTTGATCAGTGCACATCAATGGGATCTTTAAGCCAGTTTGTCATCAGGAAGTTAAGGCGGAAAATTGTAATTCTGATTAAAAGTAATAAATAGGGATGCACAATATATTCATGGTACCATATAAGAATATTTTGAAGAATATATATTCTTGTTATTCTTCAAATATATATATTTGTGTTTTTAAATCGATTAATCGCGAATATACTGTATATATATATATATATATGCTTTCAAATCGATTAATCGCGATTAATCACATTCAAAATTAAAGTTTGTATTTACATAATATATGCGTGTGTACTGTGTATACTTAAGAAATATATATATATATGATTTATATTATATATAAATATAAATATATATTACATGTATTTCTTAAATATATACATGTATGTGTGTGTACTTATATATACATATAAATATACACAGTACACACACATTTATTATGTAAATACAAACTTTTATTTTGAATACAATTAATCGCGATTAATCGATTTGACAGCACTAATATTATATATATATTCAAATTTTGGGGTCAGTATTGAAGGTCTTATGGTCACCAAGCCTGGATTTATTCGATCAAAAATATAATAAAAACAGAAATATTGTGAAATATTATTACAATAACTGCTTTCTATTTAAATATATTTTAATGTAATTTATTTCTGTGATGCAAAGATACATTTTCAGCATCATTACTCCATTCTTCAGTGTCACATGATCCACATGCTGATTTGCTGCTCAAGAATTATTTCTTATGAATGTGGAAAACAGTTGTGAAACCCTTAAATAAATATTTTGTAACATTATAAATGACTTTCCTGTCACTTTTGATCAAATAATGCATATCCCTGTGGAATGACATCCAATTTCTTAAAAAAAAAAAAAAAATCTTACTGACCCTAAACTTAAAATGTTGATATTTGTGCATCCGTAGTTACAACACAACTCCTCTTTAAATAAATATTTTGTAACATTATAAATGACTTTCCTGTCACTTTTGATCAAATAATGCATACCCCTGTGGAATGACATCTAATTTCTTAAAAAAAATAAAAAAAATAAAAAATAATCTTACTGACCCTAAACTTAAAATTTTGATATTTGTGCATCCGTAGTTACAACACAACTCCTCTTTAAAACCTGCATGATCTGAGGTATCATATATATCTGTGGGATGTTTTATGTGCCAAAGTTTAATACTTAGGTTAGGGTTATATTACTAACCCCAAGTATGAGCAAAACAAATACTTATGCAAACACCACTAATTACATGTTACAGTACCACTATCTCACTCAAAGGGCGCTGAATTCAGAGAGAGCGAATGGATGTCACTCCTTATATATCTTATGCAGAACACTCTATAATGTAGTAATGATGTGTTGAAAGATTTTTACACAAAGTATAGGATCTCTTTACAATATCTCCGATTACGTTTTCACAACATGGCAACATTTTTATCCCATGGTCATTTTGACAAACAAGCATCTTAATCCCACTGTTAGGTTTGATTAACATGACATTAATCATTGCCACATTGTACATTAGCAGCATTTAAAATAACACTAGAAATATTCTGCCCCATGTCATGTTTGCCCTGATACTGGCTGCCATGGGACAAAACATAAAGAGCTTTATCATGTAATTTCCTTTTATACAGAAGAATAACAAAACAGACATCATTTTAAATGAGAATCCTCAATCACATAAGGAAAAAATACAGAGAAAGTTGTAAATAGAGAAACACGGAGAAATACGACTGTATTCCAAGTTAAATCCCAAGTTAAATCCTCTGGTTTTCATGGCTCTGCAGAAACAGCTTATTCGAGATAATAGCAATCCCTAAAACTCATTTCGGATTTTGGATAAAACTCTTCTCCAGTACGTACCACTAGCTACAAACAAGGCAGGCCATTTACACAATATTGACCATTACTGACTACAAACTATAAGCTTTATAAAGCCATATACAGTAACTGTACCTCTAATAACCCCTTTCTGACTAAATAAATATGCTCCAATGAGATACTGTCTACACCACAATAATTATTAACATTTAAATACTGTTTATATTAAAATACTGTTTACGACACTTTCTACATATTGTAAACAAAGATTGTATTTCCCCCCCAACAAATGATTTAGTGACAGAAGGAAAAATGGTCAGAAAATGTTGATCATCATGCTCAGGAGCTCAAACTAAAGTTTCTAATTATGTCAAGTTTAGCAATTTTGAAGACATCTAAATAGTTTTTGATTTGTGTGATTTCGTTTGTTTAATTAAATGTGTAACGTTACTCTTTTTATACAGGATTATGATTTTCTATTTACAATTTGGGAGAACTAGGACTGAAAAAAACAGATTACAATATTATCATAAGCAAAGTTCCTGATATCAACTTACCAGTTGAGCAGATTTTTCAGCATCTCCTTTTCTTCCTTTCTTCTCATTTTTCTTTCGGAAGATTTCTTGCAACTAAAAAAAGAAATAGAGAAGGAATAATGGCGTGTTGAAAAATTATTTTTAAAAACAAACATCTATGGACAGAATCAACACTCTTATCAACTCACCACAAGAAATTCCCCTTTATCCACCATCTGGTTACCGTCAGCATCAAACATGTTAAAGGCAATCTTAAAGCCTGCATGAGGCTCTGAAGAACAGTTGTGAAAAGAATGTCATATTATTATAATAAGCTGCGGCATGAATTTAACGAAACAATAGGACGTATAAATATATTTGCTCATTGAGCACTGCAAATTTTGCAGCCGATCTGTTAACCCCTATTAAACATTCAACCACTAGGTGGCTTAATCAGAGGACAGGCCCACATTTCTAAGAACCTGTTATCACCCCAAGAACTTGCAAT